ATGCGTGTGAAAGCTGGACAATGAATAAGAAAGACTGAAGAAGAATTGATACATTTGAATTATGATGTTGGTGAGGAATATTGAATGCACCATGGACTGCCAGAAGAACAAACAGGTCTGTCTTGGAAGAGTACAGCCAGAGTGCTCTTTGTAAGTGAGGATGGCGAGACTTCGTCTCATGTACGTTACATGTTATCAGGAGCAACCAGTCCCTGGAGAAGGACATTATGCTTGGTAAGGTAGAGGGTCAGCAAAAAAGAGGAAGAACCTTGATGAGATGGATTGATAACAATGGCTGCAACAATGGGCTGAAACGTAGCAATGATTTTGAGGATGGCGCATGACTGGGCAGTGTTTTGTTCTGTTGTGCGTAGGGTCACTATGAGTTGGAACTGGCTCGACAGCACCTAACAACAACAACACTCTAGTAATACCTGACTAATCAGACCGCTTGTAACATGGCTAGTCCATTATTGAAAAGAACCTCCTTATCAATATGGTTGTTCATGGCAAAATAAGTGAAACTTTAAAATGTTTTAGTTGACATCGATGATTTAAAAAACAAGCTTCTCTAATCACAACAGTAGAAATATAAAGAGGCCAAGAACCTAATTAGCAGGTGAACAAAGCAAGAAAAAGAGACTGCACTGAAAGAAAATTAGATGATTATTCATTATGGAGGCCGATCCCTTATCTTTTGACAGTCTCTTTGGCTGGATTGCTAATGTGTGATTTTTGTACAAATTCTTTTAATTTCAGGGTTTCCTTTTGCTTTTTAAAATGTAACTTTTGTTTGGCATCATATACACCAATCTGATGGGCAAGGATTTCATTTTACTTGGATCCACAATCAACACCCAGGGAAGCAGCAGTCAAGAAATTAAACAACACATTGTATTGGGCAAATCTGCTGCAATAGATCTCTTTAAAGTGTTAAAAAGCAAAGATGTCACTTTTAGGACTAAGGTGGGCCTAATCCAAGCCATGGTGTTTTCAATTGCCTCATATGCATGTGAAAGCTGGACAATGAATAAGGAAGACCTAAGAAGAATTGATACCTTTGAATTATAGTGTTGGTGAAGAATATTAAACGTACCATGGACTGCCAAAAGAACGAACAAATCTGTCTTGGAAGAAGTACAGCCGGAATGCTCCTTAGAAGCAAGGATGGCAAGACTTTGTCTCATGTACTTTGGACATGTTATCAGGAGGGACCAGTCCCTGAAGGACATCATGCTTGGTAGAGGGTCAGCAAAAAAGAGGAAGATCCTCAACGAGATGGACTGACACAGTGGCTACAACAATGGGCTTTAACATAGCAACGATTGTGAGGATGGCACAAGACTGGGAGGTATTAGTTCTGTTGTACATAGGGTCACTATGAGTCGGAAGCGACGAGGGCACCTAATAACAACAATGGGTAATGCTTTTTGCGTAACAGCAAGGGAAGTGCGTTGGGAGTTAACACTACGGACCTGCTGGGAACTTGCTCTGAATTTCCAATAAAGTATGAAACCCTGCCAGAGTCTGTAATTGGTTTTCCTCCCATTTCCAAAAGAAAATGGAGTGGAGGAGAGGATAAATATGGAGATACAATATGATAACAGTACTAATCTCGATTGCAGCTCTCATATTGAAATTTTCTTCCTTGTTTCTCTGAGTCACTTAGTCTTACCCTTTTCCTTTCCTGACGCTCCTCACTTTTCCCTTGGGTTGGGTAAAATGGACAGGACAGAGTAGAACTGCCCCATAGAGTTTCCTAGGCTGTAATCTTTAAGGGAGCAGATCGCCAGGTCTTTTCTCCCTGGAGCCGCTGATGGGTTCCAACCACTGAACTTCCAGTTAGCAGCCCAGCGCTTAAACACTGCGCCACCAGGGCTCCTTGGATAGCATTCTAAGCCCCTGAAATTACTAGTATTGGTGGCCCCTAGGGCCAGGGAGGAATCTTAAGTCTTCGGTCCTCAAAAGTCACCTTTCAGGCCTCATTCGGAATATGGTAGTCTCACGAGTCCTAGACTCGAGTCCTAGATAGATCTTAGCACAGCTGAGAAAGTCAGCGCTCCGTTCCGGGACTCAGATCCAAATTTGCCGAAACAATACCCAGCGTCACACCCTAAAACACCGACCCCGCTCTGTCAGAGCCCACAGGCGGACGCATGCGCAGGAGGGGGGGGGGGCAGCCGCGACTCGAGATTGCGGGCGTCTGCACAGCGGTCACAGTTTTCGAAAGGCCTGGCCCCCTCGTAGCTGTGCAGATCCCTGGGAAGCAGCCATTTAGGATTAGTACCCTAAAAGAAACAAGGGAAGCAACCCTCAACTGGCCAGCATGTTTCCGTCTTAAACAACTTACTTCCGGTTCATCAGCCGGTTCCGTTCTCAGCCCTTCACTTCCGGTCGCCTTAGATTTCGCTGAGGCGAGTTCCTGCGTCTGCTGTCCGCGGCTCTCCGCGCTCCAGGTGAGGGGATGCGGGATACCCCGGCACGCTGCCGGCGGAAACGCCTTCGGGCTGGCGTCCTGCGGAAATGCCTTCCTCTCTGCGGGGCCTTCACTGTGGCCGACGGCGGCGGGCTGGGAGACCCCTCTGGGCGCCCCGGGCTGCGACGGTCCTTGTCCGCCGTCCAGGCCTATGACCCCGGCCCGCTCGTCGCGGGGCCGCTGCACTCCCATCCGGCCTTCTCGTCTGTTGAGGGCTTCCCGCGCCCCAGTGGATTTTACGCCCCCAAACCTCATTCTTCCCTCTTTTCGGATTTTTCCGTCTCTCACCGTCACCTTCCCTGTTCAAGGCATCCTGGCCTTCGCCCTCTGGGGTCTTTACCTGCCGTCTTGATGCTGCCCCATGCCAGTCACTTCACACAGTTCTCTCTCTTCTGCACCACCTCGCAGTTGTTACTGCTGAGCTGTCCTTGCTAGGAGCTGACAGTACTTTCCCCTTACCTTTCACTAGACTTGTTGAAATCTTAACCCCCGTTGGCGTCAATTCCTAAGATATTACGTAGGAATTTCAGATTTTTAGCTATGCTGCTTTTTAGTTGTGTGGTCTTGGGGAAGTTGTGTAACGTCTCCAGTTAGCATATCTGTAAAATGAGAACAGTAGTTGGCAGTTAAGTATTGTGAAGAGTAAACGAAATAATCCAGTTAAATTGTTTAGCACGTTATCATAATTTCTGCCACCACCAATCATATTGCTCTTTACAGCGCACAAAGTGTTGGCACAGCTGTTACCTCACGCCTTACAACACTATTCTTGTCAAATAAATATTGTTAGCCACATCTTGTGGATGAGGAGACTGAGTTCCAGAGATAGGAATGGAGGAATTGACTAAGCAAAGTCACACAGTATGTTAGGCATAAGAGAAACTTGAACCCACACAACTGTTCTTGACTGTAAGTTTACCATAAAGGTGTGCTCCTATAAGATGTAAGCTTGGGCGCTGTACTTATTGTTTGGGTTTGATTGCTCCCCCCCCCAATAATTTTTCAATTTATAATTCCTATAGGGTGCAAAATGATACAGGATATTAAAATAGTAAGGAAGAAAGAAGGTTAAATGTGAAAACAAAATGACTCAAGTATTTGTATTGTGCTGCTCCATTGGTGTGAGTGATCTGAATATTGAAAAAATGAGGTTCAGTAACTTAAAAACAGTGTTAAGGACTTAGGCATTTAAAATTTTTATAGTATTTCATTGTGCTTGATCCTTTAGAGCATCTGCCAACTTGTAATGTCCACTTGTGGCATAAGTAATTCACGTAGGCGATTCATAACATTTGTAAACTGCTTTACTAAGCATATAGGTTCCCCACCATCTGGCACATATTCTTTTCTTAAGGCTAAGAAAACGGAAGAGCTTTGATGGCTCTCAAACTTGATTGCACATCAGAATTACCTGGGGGACTTGTTAAAACACAAATTGCTAGGTTTCTTCCCTAGTTCCCAAGGACCACACTTTGAGAACCACTGGGCTAAAGGTGAAATGACTTGTCCAGGCTTGCTTGGAACTCATGTGATCTCACTCCAAACTGCTCTGCCCATCATACCATATACTGTATTAGTGCTGATTGCATTCTTAGCTCTTATAAATTATCATTTTTATTCCCACAGAAAATAATATTAGATCATATTTCGTATTTGACTCAAATGGTCCATTGGTTTTTTTTTGGGAACATACCATCTGTTAGAGTAAATCCTCCGTGGAATGGAATACATTGTCCTAGATTAACATATTTGCTTTAAATTTTCAGCAAATCAGTTTGTAAAAATAAAAGAGTAAATAGAGGTGAATTTATGTGCCCTCTTCTAATGGAACATGTTGGAGACATTTTGTTTCCAAGTAATTTTGCATATTGAGATTCAAAATTTGCCTTCTCTTTAGCAGTTGGTCTTAATACATGAAGAGTGCAAGCAAATGTTTCATTAAATAAGTGAAGGCATTTGAAAATACGAATACTTCCAGATGAGAAAATAAAATCCAATTCTCTGACCCGTGGGGAGAATGAGCTTATGAAAACTTGTAAAAAGCTTTATGGGGGAAGAAATACACATGTTGACAAGAGTAGCAACTCCTATATGTGTGTGTATATATATATATAATCTTTGTGTGCTTAGATCCTTGCCTGTGATCTTGTGTGCTTAGATCCTTATCTGTGGCTTTTGTATTTGCCGATCCTAGATACCTTAACCTCCTGTAGGTCCAATTCAAGAAAGACAGTTGTGGTGTAGGGGAAGAAACATGAGATTTAGTCAGAAGCCCTGGTTCTTTTAACTGCTGTGTGGTGCCATGAGCAGATTATATAGACTCTGAAGTCAAGTTTCCTTAATTGTAAAAGGGGAAAACAACCTTGTGAGCATTAAATGAGATTGCATAAAAATTGAGTAATTAGTCAAATATGAGATAATAGCTGTTTACTATTTAGCACAGTGCCTGGAACATAAGTAAACATTCAGTTAAATTTAACCAACACTTATTTATATAGTGCTTACTTATAAGTACTTATATAGTACTTACATAGTGCCAGGCACTGTGTGATTTATAAATATTAACTAAATCCTCATATGAACCATATGAAGTAGGTAGTATTATCATCCCTATTTTACAATGAGGAAACCTAGGCATTAAGAGTCAGGTAACATCTCAAGGTCAAATAACTAATAAGTGGGAGACATGGCATCTGAACCTAGGTACTCTGGCCCCAAAGTCTGTACTCTTACAACTATACTGTTAAATGAACATGGATAGTCCATGGTAAAGGAACTTGCCTGTAGCATAAACTTATCAAATAGAGGGGGAAGAATAGGTAGGTCATCATTGCACCTTTCCAGTAGAACAGGGAGAATCTGAGAGTATTAGATAGGAGCTCTGGTGGCACGGTGGTTAAGAGCTCAGCTGCTGACCAAAAGGTTGGCAGTTCGAAGCCACCGGCTACTCCTTGGAAACCCTTTGAGGCAGTTGTGCTCTGTCCTGTAGGGTCGTTATGAGTCGGAATCGACTCGACGGCAATGGGAAATTAACTCTAAGCTAAAAATTGGGAGGGCGGGAGAATTGTCTTTAACTTTGAGTTCTTATAACAGCTATCTCATAGCACTGCTGTAAGGAAAAAATTCTGTTTCTCTACTATCAAATTAGAGAATAGGAATCAAATTGCGCATGCTCATAAAATTTAAACGTTTAGCTACATCTTGGATATATCTGTTTTAACTTGTTTATTTGTGTATGTCTTCTTTTCTAGGTTTTTTTAAAAAATATTTTTCTAATTGAAAGCTGCCTCGTTTTATGTTTCAAGGATGGCTGTCCCTCTGATTGTAAAATGGGGTGGACAGGAATATTCAGTGACCACACTTTCAGAAGATGATACTGTGTTAGATCTCAAACAGTTTCTCAAGACCCTTACAGGAGTGCTGCCAGAACGCCAGAAGTTACTTGGACTCAAAGTTAAAGGTAATTCTCTCTCCCCTTCCATTTTTTTGCATCAATATATTCATGAATTTTGGTATTTGCTATAATCTGTTGTTTTCTTTAATAAGTCTTTCCCTTTGGAGATTACTTTGAGAAATTGTTTCAGTAGTAAAAGTAAGAAGAATAAAAGTTGCTGGAAAATACCACCAGTTTTAAGATTACTTTTGATTCCTCTGACATGTGGTGTTTGCTTGTTAAACCTATGGCACAGAAGTCCCAGGTGAAACAGTGTAATTTATTCCCTGACATTTACCTTCAAGCATAGCCTTTTCATTATAGCTTGGGCCTTGTACTCACACCAAATTATCTCTTCCATTTGGAAAGTAATGATATTTACAGATTTATAGGCAGTGTTCTTATCTAGTCTAACAGGGGCTTTCATGGTATTTGTGGCTGTCATATCTTTGAAGGATGACTTCTGAGCAGCAGTGAGCCTGCAGTTGAGTTTTTTGGGCACTCAGTTTTCAAGGCTTTTCAGAAAGGGCTAACTTCATCTTGAATAACAAAATAAAACATTAACCGTTTTTGTTTGTTAGGTTAGTTGAATAAAGGTGTTCCTCTAAGATGGAGTTGGGGGAGAAAACAACCCCTGTGTTATTTGCTGCTCCTCAGTGCCTTAGGTATAACTCTAATTCAGCAGTAACACTTTGACAATTTAAGGGAAAACAAACAAATAACAACAACAACAAAAACCAATAAACTGCTGTAGAATCTGTACCAAACTTTTTAATGTTAGGGTTTTGTATAATGGAATAGTGAAACCAGCATCTGAACTTTAGTGAGAAAACAGTCATTTGCTTGTATTGTAGGCAGACCTGCAGAAAATGATGTTAAGCTTGGAGCTCTCAAACTGAAACCAAATACTAAAATCATGATGATGGGAACTCGTGAGGAGAGCTTGGTAAATGTTTACTTTTGTTACCATTTGTCCCTTTGAAGATATTATGGTTTATACTACACTGTTGTATCCTAGTTTTAATTGTCATAAAATTGTCGATCTAGCAGTCAATGAAAATAAAAGCTGCACAATGAACGTGGTATTAACTCAGCAAAAAATAAATACTCGGGAAGTTTTTAGTACATAGTTAGCCATAAGTACAGTAGTAGCCCAAATGGTCAAATTTAACATGGTAAATCTGTCCAGTGGACGTATATATTGAATTAGTAATTGTGGAAATTTTTCCACAGTGTGTACTTGAAGGACTCTTGAACACAAATTGAACCTTTCATTTGATTTTTACTCTAGACATACGTTTGTAACGTTAAAGCTAATATGGTAAAACAAAACTTTTTTTCATCTTAATAGGAAGATGTCTTAGGTCCACCCCCTGACAATGATGATGTTGTCAACGACTTTGATATTGAAGATGAGGTAGTTGAAGTAGAAAATAGGTAAGTGCTTTTCACTCTCAAAGGAACTTGGTTGTAATGAGAGAAAAAGTGAATATTTCATCTGATTTTATTTTTTCCGTTAGAGAAGAAAACCTACTGAAAATTTCTCGCAGAGTTAAAGAGTACAAAGTGGAAATTTTAAATCCTCCCAGAGAAGGGAAAAAGCTTTTAGTACTAGATGTTGATTATACATTATTTGGTAAGTCAGCTAATAATGCTCTTCATCTTCTGTTCCCCGTAACAACTGCCCCCCGCCCCAGCAACTCTGGGTTCATATGAAATATTTTATTTATATTTCTTTTCTTATTATTATAAAAATAAATAAATCATTGTAGAAAATACAGATAAGCGGAAAAAGAAGTCATCTGTAATCGCAAGACCCACAGATGACCACTCTCGATATCTTGATGAGTATTTTGCAGGGTGTGCTTGTTTGTACCTGTTTTTTTTTCTTTTACTTAATGATATATTGAACATTTTCTCAGTCATTAAATATTATTCAATTTTTTTAGGGGGGAGGGTCACACAGTTTATAGATGTGTCATAATTTAACCAAGTCATTCCCCATTTATTAACATTTAAATTTCTATGGAAAACTTAAAATTATTTTTAATATTTTATCCCTGGTTTTCTGTTTAACTGTGTTTGGGGCAGATTCTTGAACTTAAAATTTCTCACATCAGCCAAAAAAGAAAAATGCTTATTTCATGCTTTAATGTTGCTAAGAAATGTTTAGTTAACTTCTGATATTAGAATGAACTTATTTACCTAGAATCCTAAAGTTTAAACATATATCGTAAATTAATGTACAGTTATTTTAAAATTTAACTGTTAAATTAATTGAGCCTGTCATTTTGGTGAGATTCAGTTACATCTGGAAGGGGGATGGCTAAAAGTGAGTATAGGTGGCCCTAGTCTGTCTTTTCATTATCATAAACTAACATCTATACTTTAGAAACTTGATGAGAAAAAAAAAATTACAGTTTACTATATGAGCCTGAGTTCTGGGTATTACTCTTGGAAAATTGAGCAAAATTGATAGATTAAAATTAGATCTCAAGATTATGAAATTTTGTGCTTTGAAAGACATCTCTTTGTCAAACAGTGTATTTCAATCTGAAGAAGTTGCAACTGAGTGTTTATATTACTTTTCATAAGCTTCATTGATATTAGGGTCTTGTCCATGATAATAAACTAATACTCATCTATGATTGATTTTCTTTCAGACCATAGGTCTTGTGCAGAGACTGGGGTAGAATTAATGCGGCCATATCTTCATGAGTTCCTAACATCTGCATATGAGGATTATGACATTGTTATTTGGTGTAAGCTATGTTTTTTGTTTCGATTTCATGGAAATAAGATTGTTCATTATAGTATTCTGATTTATGAAATATGACGTAAAATGCTTGTGTATTTTTCAAGGAAATTTCTTATGAAGCATGTTTGACTTTCTTGAATCACAACATAAACTCCAAGTACCACTTCAATAACTAAGTATAGGAAGAGAGTAGATTATGCTGTCAGAATGAAAATGACCTTATTTTTACAGTGCTCCTACTCAGATTTGGATTTTTTTCCCCTGATTTTTACTGTAGAATTCTTGATACTTCATGATGTTGTTGCTTTCTTATTTTTTTCTTCCTTGAAAGAAGATATGTTAAAAAACAAAAAATGGTGATGTAATTCCTCAGAAATAAAGGCAATACGACTTTACTTAAGAAAAAAATTTAAAAAAAAAAAAAGGCAGTGATTCTCAAATTATGGTGTACAGACCATTCCAAGAACTTACAGACCTGTGATAAGATAATGAGTTTGCTTCAAAAAGTAAATTGACTACTAAGCACACTGTTTTATTTTAGCTGACTTTTTTTTTTTTTTTGGTAATGAGACTTCCTCAAAAAAGGAAGGCAGTGAATTGATTTACACACTCCCTACCTGTCAACATTAAAATTTGCTTCTTGGCAATATCATATGTAGAGAAGAACTATCGTGATTATAAATTTAAAAAAATCTTATAATTAAAGATACTGCATTTAATTGTTCTAGTTTATTAATAAGAAACCACATGGTTATTATTATAGTCTATAAATTTTGTTTGTATTTTTCCTTATAATCAGAATATTTCTATTATTCAGTGTTAATATTAGTTCATAGCCATTAAAATTAAATACACAGTTAAAATATGACAATTTTCTGGTTTAATAAGAGAAGGGGAAAAAAAACTTTCTGGGAAGTAAGTTTTTCTTCAGCAGCTCTTGATACCTGAGATGACTTTTGAGAAAAGTTTACCCTCTCAATGTTATTAAAGTAGATTTAGAAATTCAGAGAATCTTTAAAAATTATATATATAAATTATGATATTTCATGGTAGTACATTGAAAAGGGCACTTGGGAGCTAAATAGAGTTCTAATTCTGGCTCTGCCCTTACCTTGTGACACTGGACAGGTCACTTAATCTCTCTGAACCTTAGTTTCCTTATCTGAGAAATGAAGATAACTAAATCTGTGTTATAGGGTAGTTGTAAGAATAAAAATATCAGCACAGCAACTAGCACCATGTCTGATACGTAATAATTACTTAATAATTAGGACTGTTTTTATTAGCTGTGAATTTTTTTTTTTTCCTCCATCTGGGAATTATAGATAGAAAATAGATACTGACTTAAAAAAAACATTTTTCTCCCTATTTCCCTATTTCATGACTGTTTTCCTTGTAGGTTCATTATGTAAGTTTTGCATGTAAGGTGATTCTTTTGCTTTTTTCCCTGTGTGTGCTCAAGATTTTATTTTGAGAACTCAGGTACATCTTTTGTGTTAAAAACATGTATGTATTAATAAATATATATATGTATATACAAAATAGTTGAACTACTTCTTCCCTTTTTAAACAGTTTACTTGGTAATATCTATATAGTTTAGTGCAGTAACTTGGGACTAGGAGAGCACATAAAGCTAAGGATTGATTGATCCTCAAACTGTTAATGTCTTGACAGTGAGCAGATACATAACATAGGAACAGCTTCCGAATTTAGTTGTCTCAGATTCCTTCTTAAAGGCTGATAGTCTCAATAAGCACTAAGTTTGCTAAGCCTGACAAAGTGCTTATTTTTGTTGGACCTCACTAATCTTCAACATTAACCTTTGATGCACAACATTAATATGTGTATATTGATATACTATATATACCTGGGTGTTGCCTGGAAGTAAGAACATGAAGAAAGTTGACATCCAGTTACCCTAAATTTAATTTTAAGTTTGGAATTGATAGAGAAGAATAGTGGCTGGGCTATTTTCCAAAGGGATTTCTTGATTTATAAATTTCCCAGCTTCAAAATTTTGTTGAGCATTGGTGACCTGCACCCTATGAATTAAAGTTTAATTTTATTAAATTTTATTCTGTCTTGAAGACACACTAAAGTAAATTTATTTTTATAAATATAAGAAAATTATCATAAATATGTTAGGGTCTGTTATTTGTGATGCATTTCAAGTTTAGTTTTGCTTAGAAAACTTACTTATACAGAAGAAAGTAAAAACTTTTTTAAAAAAATGAATTTCAAGCTTTTCATATGTATTGTATTATCATTCCTCATGTTTTAGCTGCAACAAATATGAAGTGGATTGAAGCTAAAATGAAAGTAAGTGTTAGAAGACAATCCAATTAAAAATGTTTTGAAACTGCATTTGTCTTGTTAGAAGTGTTAGGAATTAGTTTCATTCTCATTGGAAAGCATTTAGTAATAAGCAAATACCAACATCAGGAGTAGAGTGTGTTTAAAGTCTGTTTAATGATAGGGTGTATTGAATACCTAAGTCTTCTTCAAGAAAAAGTACTGCTAAGCTCCTCCCTGCTTTTCTTTTCCCATTTTGCAATAATGATTTCTTTTCCTTCTTTTGCTCTGTTGTGTAATAAAGGGTTAATGCTCTTCTACAAGTGGTAAGTTAGGAAGTAATTTGTTTCTAGTTTATTTTCCTTGGACTACCATTTATTGACTTAGCTAAATGAAACTAAAATATACTTGCTTCTTGTTTAGCAAGATGTGGTGGCCAAGCGGGTAGAAAGTTGGCATTATGGGAAATGGCAGCTGGAATCTTCAGGAAGCCTGAGATTTTCCACAGTATTATATTTTAACTACATGAATGTTTGTGTTTATAGGAACTGGGAGTGAGCACGAATGCAAACTATAAGATTACCTTCATGTTGGACAGTGCTGCTATGATAACAGTGCATACCCCAAGGAGAGGATTAATAGATGTAAGAAGTCATTTTACTTTTATTTAAAGACTTATTTTCTAGTGCACTTTTTGTATTTATGCTAATAGAATAAACTACAGAGTTTAGAAATTCACCTGAGTAAATAGTAAAATGACATTTGCGTTTTGACATAGGAAAATACATTTAAGGTTAAAAGATCCATATTTTAATGATAAAATTAAGGAACTTGAGACAGTACTGTCAAGAAAGAAACTTGTGGTTATGGATAATTGTCCTGTGATGATGGCAGCTAAAGACAGAGTAAGTGAGAAAAATACTGGATATCATCAAGGAATATATTAGAAACATATGAAAATGGTAAATGAGCACCATGGTGCATGTACTTTGGAGTGATGTAGCACAGCCCTAGAGAAGAGCAACAAGAACTATTAGAAAAAAGGGCCGGGCTAAAAAGATTAGAGTTCTTCACTTTGTTTCCCTTCAAGTAACTAGTCATATTATTGAGCACCTCCTATCTGCAGGGCCCTGTAATAGGCACTATTGGGAATAAAAAGATGAGTGAGATGTGATCCATGCCTTCTGGAAGCACACAAACTAGTGGGAATTGGGGAGAACTTAGGATACTAGGAAAGCTTAGATAGTATTAAAATTGTCAAAATCATAAATAGTTTAAGTTCGTGGGACTTTTTCAATAAAGGAAATAATGCATATAGTGGGGGAAATATTGCATATAGTTATTATCTACATTTACAAGTCTAAAAGTAAAACTAAGTTTGGAAAATGTTAAACATAGAAGTGTTTATAATAGTGAAAAGTTGGAGGAATAAAAATAATCTTCAATATCCAGCAACAGGGAGTTGGATATATAAACTATTGTTCATCTGTTTAATCGAATGCATCTAATCATTTGGTGTTGTAGAATATTTAATGATATTAAAAATTTTTTCACGATGTGTCATTATAGTAAAGAAGTATTTTGGCAGTATTTGTAACCTGTTAGAAAATAGTTCTTAACTTTTGTTTGGTTCAGGGTTCCCCTTAGCTTAACAAAGGATCTGTGAACTCTCTGAGGCTGCTGCTATTTTTAAAAAAGACTGGAGGTAAATACATCAGAATATCTAGTTGTTATCCTTGGTACTAGATTATAGGTGACTTAAAGTATTTCTTTGTGCTTTTCTGTATTTAAATTTTTCTGCAGTCAGCAATGTTACTTTTATAATTGAGAACAGAGCAGTCCATGTTTTGGGGAACAAATGCGTTTGGCCTAATCACAAAATGACAGTACTATTTTGGAGGATGTAGGATTTCTAGCCCTGGGTGTCTTAAAGGGTGACCTCTGTTGTCATATTTCTTGAGGCCTTTTCTTAGCTAAGAAAGTCAAGGATTTGGCTTTTTGTGTCAGTTCCTATATATTTGTCTTCAGGTATTTGGGAGGTTTGTATCAGTAGTAAACAAATAGTAGAAACAAATTCAGGAAAATAAAATTTTAGTTAAAATTTTCAGTAATATTTGTTGCAGTAGATAGGATACTAAGGGGAAAAAAAAAAGATTTTCTCCATATTAAAATAAATTATAGGAGAAAAAGAAAACATTTTGAAAGCAGCCAGTAGGAATTCATGAAGAAGCCTTTGTCAGCATTTATGTATTACCAATTAATAAATGAGATCCCTGCCTTCAGCAAAAAGTAATTTTCTTTTAAAAATTAATTTTCTTTAAAAATTTTCTAAATGTGTAATAACATGATTCAACAATAAAAAGAAAGTACATAGGGAAAAGTCTTCTTCCCACCTGCGTCTCTCTGCCATTTTATTTCCTCCCTCAGGCAGTTACTATTATTACTTGTGTAGTCTTACTGAGATTTTATTTAAGTACCAAAGATACGAATATAGGAGGTAGTATCATTTTGAAGCCTCAGTTTTAAGGATTCAGAAATAAAAGCAAGAATTTACAAACTTTGGTGCATTTGAAGTTAAGCAGTCAGATGCCCTAGAAGTTAAGCACCTGTGCTACTGAATTAGTTAAAATCATTTATTCTTTAACAAAATATCTAAATTATGAATTGAAAGAGCCAGGTGCATTGTCTCTCACTAAGGTTTTCTAGTTTTGAAAACAGACCCTACGTGACCCTCAAGCTTTGAGGGGGCATACATTTGCCCAGGAAATCGTGATCACTTAGTAGACATCTAAAAAATTATTTTGCATCCTTTTGTAATTTAATAATTACTCTTCATTTGACCCAGAATCATCATGTTAAAATTATGGAAAGTCTTATAATGGGTTTAGTTCAGTTAGACCTGAACAAACTTTTCAGAAGTTAACATCGTGTGATACATAGTGCTTTAAAGTGTATTGCAACTCAGTTATGATGTGTCTGCACGGCGACTGCCAGCAATTATCATCTTATAGGGGAAAAGGAACACTCTGGCATAGTTTTGCCAGTGTAATTTGTAGTATTTACCTTTTTGATTTAAACTTGAGTAAAATCTAAACTTTCGTTTTAAGGTAAAACCTCTTGGTGTTATATGGGGAAAGTTTTCAGAGTTTTACAGCAAAAAAAACACCATTATGTTTGATGACATAGGAAGAAATTTTCTAATGAACCCACAGAATGGACTAAAGGTAAGACAAGTTTACTTACTATATGCTTATGTAATCTGGAAGATGTGGTGAAACTTTAAGCATTGGTTGGATTTCATGAATTTGTTTAAGTGCTGTATACATTCTTGTGGTCACTGGCAAGAAAAGCTTAAGTATTTAGAATAGTACATATTAAAATTGAACACTCTCTCCTTTGCATTGATATCTTCTTGGTTAGCTAACTCATCCAAGTTTTATTTTTAATTAGTTCTGTGGCGCAACATGGGCTTACTGCCATTGAACTTTAGCGTCAAAAGTGAAATAATCAGACGTTTTATTTGGAATCTTAGAATTTCTGATGCTTTGGTTAGCCGGAGCTAGCGGGAGAATTTTTTTTTTTTAACTGAAATTAAGAAGAGGTTTTTGAAATTCTTAGAGGGCAGGTAGATCTTAGAACTGTAAAATGCCAGAAGGAACTTCAGTCATCTTGTCCACCTACTTAACTTTATACAAATAATCTGAGGATCAGAAAGTTCACGACTTGCCCAAGATCATGTATGTAACTGGTTAATGATAGAATTTGGGTTAGAATCTAAATGACTTGGTTCATACATCAGTGATGATCTTAGCATGCAGTCACATGCAGTCTTGTGTAGATGTGATGGTGATATTTAATGCTGGTAGCAGTGTGAAACTGGTAAGAGAGAAATTTGAAACTTTCAAAATTTCTGGTACCTGTGGTTGCTTATGTGTCAGCAGATTACGAAAATGGAAGAAGTGGCTCTGTATTATCTTGGTACTAATGCAGATAGAGTTTCCACTGAAGTGGAAATTCTGACACTAAGATATTTTGATTCTTAGTCCTGAACTTTTCCCAGCAAGCTGTGTTCTTGGTAATTTTCAAAGACAAGAAAAACTTGAAGAAAGTACAGCTTTGAAGCTTTCCTTACAGTCTCTTGATGTGGTCGTTAGTGTAAAATGGGGATAGTTTAGGGACAGAATGCTAATTTAGGTAATGAATTGGAATAAAGGTACCTGAGGAGATTACTGGTTATGTTACCCTTAAGAAAATGGTTTCTGTTAGAGGCTTTGGGAGAAGTGGTTTTCCTGTGTGTAGTTCACCAGATATAAGGTACAAAAATGTGTTCTTAAGAGATTTGATTGATGTGAAGCTAATTCTCTGTGAAATTAATGGTTATTACCTGTTCTGCCAAGGAGATGAGGTCATGCATGATATGCAAGGAAAGATGTTTGAAGAGAGCTTCTTTTTTTAAATTTTAAATACAATAATTGGTTTCATGTATGTTTAGAAGAAACTTTATTTTCCCAGTCAGCATTTGGGCCCTGCTCATCTCTTGATGGAAAGAGAAAAATCAGTTGCCATCGAGTCAACCCCAACTTATGGTGACCCCATGTGTATCAGAGTAGAACTATGCTCCATAGGGTTTTCAGTGACTGATTTTTTGGAAGTAGATTGCCAGGCTTTTCTTCTGAGGTACTTCAGGGTAGACTTAAACTTCCAACCTTTCGGATAGCAGCTGAATGCATTGACTGTACCACCAAGGGACTCTGATGCATAGAGAGATGATAGAAATTTTCGATTTCTTCTTGTTACTTTAGATCAGGAAGTTTTAAAACCAGAGGTACTCAGTAGAGTCACCAAAGGAAATTAATAAAAATGCATAATGTTCCCACTCCCAGAAATTCTAATTCAGGAGGTATTTTTAAGCATTCCATGGGCATATCATTTTATCCAAAATTAGTAAAAAATTTTTGAAAAGGTATCTTTGGTTCTATAAAGGTATTTGAGCTGGTAGCTTTAAAAAAAATTCTTCATTGGAAATACAAAGAAAAGTCTGTAAAACTTATAGTATAACAAATTGTTGTAAAGATGACATATATAACTACCACCCAAATCAAGAAATAATATCCCTTACCAATTACAGTTCCCCCCGTCTACTATCCTGACTTTTATAATTTGAACTAGTGACTTTTAAATTCTTGCTTTACATCATAAAATCTATCATACTTAAAATTTTGGAAAATATGACTCTTCTTTTTATGAGAAAACTCTTGCACAATTGAAAAATGATTTTTATGGATACTTTAATGATGAATAGGCTACACAAGTATATAGTGATATCTTACCTATATAAAAAATTTGTGGAAAAATACTGAAATGAAGATCATCAATGTTAAGATTTATGTCACTCCCCTGCTAGATCCAGGTTGTATTTAGGTTAACTTATTGTGAATGAAGTGATGCAAATGAAATTATTTAATTAGTAAGAAGTAACTGGAATGATAGAAGGAGAAAGTCTAAGCAGTTTTGTAAAGTGTAGTAGCCACATAGAGGTGCAGGTGCTCTAAGAAAGTTGGTGTTTTCTGACTGAAAAGACAGTAAGGTGAAAAATGGTGGAAGAGCTTTGAGCTTATAGTATAGACATATATACTATGTCATTTTATTCAACTGAGGCTAATGTAAAAGTAATTTTTAATATTGATGTACTTGGTGATATTTTAACCTTATTAACTCTAATTAAAATGATAGAATATAGTGTAGATTTGTGTTAATTTTTCTTATTGCAATGTGAAGTGCTGAATAATGTTTGTTTCCTAATAGATAAGACCTTTCATGAAAGCGCACCTAAATCGAGATAAAGACAAAGAACTTTTAAAATTAACTCAATACCTCAAGGAAATAGCAAAATTAGATGACTTTTTGGAGCTAAATCACAAATATTGGGAAAGGTAAGTGCTATGTTGCTTATTCATTTTCTCCTTACATTAACAAATTAAAAAATTGTCTGGCGTCACTGGTATATACATAACTCTTCATTTTTATTTAAAATGAATGAATTCTAAAAATATTTTTCAATCCACTGACATCTCCAGAAAATATTTTTCCCATTTCTTAAACTCTTAAAAAAAATACTTCTAGTGGAGAGGACTTAGAGACTGGTACAAATTTATGATGTTATATGTTAATTCTTTTGTGGTATTAGGTAAATCATTTTTTTATGCATCACGAGATGTAACCCTGTTCTCATACTGCAAAATAATGTCAGTAGAAAATAAAATACATAAAAATTTCCTGGAAAGTATTAAAATTTACATGTAATCTCTGTTCATAGCAAAAAATTTATTCCACTAGAAAAACAATTACTCATGATCTTCCTATCTAAAGATAAACTGCTATTACAATGTTGGTGGATAGTCTTCCAGATGTTTTCTAAGCACAGATATATGGATAAATCTAAATGTAGACTGCACATAAACATTAAGATTTTGGCAAAGAGGACCTCTGGAGAAGTGGAAGGGATTGTTATGTACTGCAAGTAAGTTTTGAAATTGGGTCTTTAAGGTTGAATGTTTTGTTTTAATCTGGTTCCAGTAATATAGCAACAAAATAAACTTTGTAATAAAATAGTATTTTGGCTTTCAAATTCCACTTCAGACTTCTCAGATCACTTTGACAAATGACTTATTTGAGTTTCATAATCCTATCAGGAACATAAGGCAGAGTTGGAGCATTTTTATCCCCATCTTCATTTTGCAATGATATAACTGAGTCATGGAGAAACTAAATGCTTGACACAGTGCCACAAAGCGAACAAGTGGCACCATTAAAACTTGTCCAGTTCTGACTTTAAGAACTTTTTCCCCACCCCACGTCACTGATTATAGTACTTTGTAAATATTAGGAATAGAGATTAAAACATTTTAATTTGGTGGTAGATTCCTTACAAATAATATGAAGAAAATTTGCTTAGTAAATTAATGCCTTTGTATCTTTAACAATCTTGATTAAAGTCCTTTAGCATCTTTGACTCACTATTTTTATGCTTATCTACAGTAAAGAAAAAAAAGTCATGCAAGAAAAATAAGGTCTTTAAATGGAGTTTGAGTTATATTTAGAAATTACAATACTACTTAATATATTTACTTCTGTATTTGTCAGTAAGGCAATATGGAGTGATAGCTAAAGAGTGCAGTCTCTGGAGCCAAGCTGCGTTGTTTTGAATCTGAGCTCTGCCACTTTCTAGCTGTCTGAACTTGAGTAATTTGATTAACCCATTTGTGCCTGTAAAATAGGAATAATTTATAATAGAAAACTCCTCATAGATCTGTTGTGAGAACTAAATGAGTTATTACATTGTCTTAGTTATTTAGTGCTGCTGTTACAGAAATACCACAAGTGAATGGCTTTAACAAACAGAAATTTATTTTCTCACATTTTAGGAGGCTTGAAGCCCGAATTCAGAGTGCTGGCTCTAGGGGAAGGCTTTCTCTCTCTCTGTCAGCTCTGGGGGAAGGTCCTTGTGTCTTCAGCTTCTGCTTTCTGGTTCCTTGGAGATCACCATGAGACTTGGCATCAATCTTCTCCCATCTCTCTTCTTGCTGGCTTGTTTAATCTCTTTTATATCTCAGAAGAGATTGACTTAAGACACACCCTATGCTAATCCTACCTCATTAACATAACAAATACAACCCATTTCCAAATGGGATTATAACCACAGGCATAGAGGTTAGGAATTACAACACATATTTTTGGGGGAAACAATTCCGTCTATAACATACATGTATATAGAGCAGTGCTTGGCACATAAGCGATCGACAGATGTTAGCGATTAACAAGTATTCATTTTGAAAAGCTTTGTTATATCTTTAAAATAAACTACATTCCTTTGGGAGGAGAGTTAGATTGTTATGAATTTAGTATGATACAGCTTTGACATCTTTATTTTATTTCTTGCAGGTATCTCTCAAAGAAGCAAGGACAGTAATTATAAGTTATACTGCAGTTATTGAAGATACTTGAGATCCACGAACTTCTTGCTTTTATGCTAGAACTCATTATGATAGTGCCGGACACTGAAGCAAATTCCAGATTGCTTATACTTTGTCTTCCAGTTTTTTGTAAATTTAATTTTATATTTTTTGAAGATCATAGCAATATGCTTTAAAAATTCCATTTTTTCCTATATGTATATGCTGTTACTCTTGAAAAAATATTCTCCAGCATTGATTACTAAATTTTTTCTCACCCCACCCCCAAAACAAAATGGATAAAAATGTATGCTCAACAATGTTATTTTGTTACTTTGGAGACAAATTTTGTCTTGTGTTTTTGTCTCACTAACTCTAAGATCAAACTCATCCTGAAACTAGTGTTTTTCCATTTCAAACCAGAAAAAAAAAAAGTATTTGAGTAAAGGACCTAATATTTAAGTATGTATAAATTACCAGAAAAAAAAAGTGTTTGAGTAAAGGACCTAGTATTTAAGTATGCTTAAATTACCAAGAATCTTATTGCTTTGTCATAGACACAATTTCTCGTCTGTACTCCACTGCTTAGATCTCTAAATTCTGAGCTATGTCAATTTGATCTGTATGTCTGACATGTTCTTTAAGTAAAACTGGAAATTGTCAGCCGTGATACAGATATACCATAGTATGAGAAATAGAAAACATGAGACTAAAGAGTAAAATAAGGAACAAGAATGAGTCTCTTTTTGGTGGCTTAAATTGAAGTACTTCTGCCCAAAACCATTGTCATAAAAGCAGTGAAAGGCACTAAACTTTAAATTGGAACATATCACTGTTTCAGCCCTAAAAAGCATGAACAAAAGTTTTTGTTCTGTTCCAGCTATATCTTGTCTAAGTGCAAACACTGTGCTTCAGTAAAAACACCGCCATAGGATTAAAAAACATTTTTGCATTGCGTAAGCCTGTGCTATAGATATGTAATGTGACTACTGTTTTGTGTTGACAGTATTGCTTTATACAGTTATTGTATTTGAAAGGAATCTGATCCTTTCAAATAAACATGGTGTATATTGTTCTTACTGGACTATTTCGGTGGTGTAAATAATAAATACCTTTTCTTAAAACATTGGTTACCAGCTTTATATTATCGCAAGTATTTTGCCTTTTTGTTGTATCACCAAAAAAAAAAAAAAATGGGTGCAGGCAAGGACCTCTTGAAAAAAGAAAAATTTGTATGAGTTGACAAGTGTGTATGTCACTCTTGATACATTCAGGGTTGATTTAAGCAGCTAATTAGATGTGTTAAATTACTTAATTCAAATAAGCATATTTTCAGAAAGATAAAATATTTCTTTGTGACAGGTTATTACAAGGATATACAATGCAGAAGAGTTTGAGAACCTTTAAATAATTAAATGATTTAATTTAAATGAGTGTCCTAATTATGATCCTAAGTGTAAATATTTAGAGAGAGAACAATTTTTTAGAGTATTCATTTCATTGATACATTTTTCCACTGTAATAGCTTATTATTCCAAAGTAGGCGTGGAAAGGACTTGATCTTTTTAAGAAAATTGACACTTAAACTGTTAAAATAGGTGAGAAAGAGCAGACACTTTCTAAATCATTATAACTAAAATACAAAAATTAAGCACCAGGAAGCAAAGTAGGATTTAAAAAAATCATTTTCTGCCATTAGGTGGTGCTCAAGCCAAAGTTGATTAGCAGGTAGGCTTAATTAAGCAACTCTGGAAGAATGTAGTCGTCGGCTTATTGAGATTACGTGTGCCGTGATTAATACTTTCATAGAGTATTGGTGTTTTAGTTTGTCTTCTGCATCTCCTGGTTTATTGAACAGATCTGCCTATGTATATGGCACATACAGCATAGCCAGGAGACAACTTAATTCAGATACATATTCTAGTAAATTAGCAAGTTATTTTTATGATGCATATGTTCCAAATTTTCAAACAATTATAACCTAATAAACTATATTTAGCCTAAAACTTCCGCAGAACATCATTAAATCTGATTCAGAGGGCAGTTGGAGATCTAGTAGCCCCTCAGGTCCTTGTTATGAAAATCGGTTATTGGACTAATGATTCCTATAGCAGCTGTTCGTTTAAAAGTAATTGTTGTTAGGTATTATGGATTGAATTGTGTCCCCCAAAACTGTGTGTCAACTTGGCTAGGCCATGATTCCCAGTATTGTGTGGTTTTCCACCATTTTGTGATCTGATGTGATTATCCTATGTGTTGTAAATTCTAATCTCTATGATGTTAATAAGACAGGATTAGAGGCAGTTATGCTAGTAAGGCGGGACTCAATCTACAGGATTAGGTTGTATCTTGAGTCAATCTCTTCTGAGATATAAAAGAGAATCCAGCAGAGCAGAGAGGGACCTCATACCACCAAGAAAGGAAGAAGTGCCTGAAGTGGAGCATGTCTTTTGGACCTGGGGTCCCTGCACTAAGAAAGTCCTAGAGCAGGGATAGATTGATGACAAGGACCTTCCCCCAGAACTGACAGAGAAAAGCCTTCCTCAGGAGCTGGCGCCCTGAATTCAGACTGTGAGAGAATAAATTTCTACTTGTTAAAGCCGTCCACTTGTGGTATTTCTGTTTATAGCAGCGCTACATAACTGAGACAGGTGCGGTAGAGTCGGTTCTGACTCACGGCAGCCCTATGTACGACAGAATGAAACACTGCCAAGTCCTGCGCCATCCTTACAATCATTGCTGTGTTTAGCAGCCACTGTGTCAATCCATCTCGTTGAAGGTCTTCCTCTTTTTCGATGACCCTCTACCAAACACGATGTCCTTCTCTAGGGACTGGTCCCTCCTGAGAACACATCCAAAGTATGTGAGACGAAGTCTTGCCATCTTCACTTCCAAGGAGCATTCTGGCTGTACTGCTTCCAAGACAGATTTGTTTTTCTGGCAGTTCATGGCGTATTCAATATTCTTTGCCAACACCATAGTTCAAAGGTGTCAATTCTTCCTTCGTCTTCCTTAATCATTGTCCAGCTTGTGCATATGAGGTGATTGAAAATACCATGGCTTCTGTCAGGCACACCTTAGTCCTCAAAGTGACATCTTTGTTTTTCAACACTTTAAAGAGGTCTTTTGCAGCAGATATGCCCAGTGTAATATGTCGTCTAATTTCTTGACTGCTGTTTCCATGGGCATTGATGATGGATCCAGGTAAAAGAAAATCCTTGACAACTTCAATCTTTTCTCCATTTTTATCATGATGTTACCTATTGGTCCAATTAAATGGAATAGAATAAACAGGTTGTTACGGTAAACAACTGAAACATGTTTTTCATTCAGGGGAAGTAAAATAGTTGTTTTTGGGAGGGAAGAGATGGAACTATGTAGGGCTGGGAACGGGGAAAGAAGGGATATGAAAAGAAATGGGAAAACAAATTACTTAGGTTATTGCTTGATTATTAATGGGCACTTGGTAACCAAGAACAGTAATAAAACGTGAATAGTGAATAAACAAATTGAGGGTTTTTTCTCATCCTAAGTAATCAAGAGAACTCTCGAGACAAATGTTATAGTTTCCACTGAAGTATTTATACATCAAGACTCATTAATCTTATTATTAACTGGAATAGCAGCCCAAGAGATGTCTCTAAAGATTAAATGCCTAGATATTTATGTAAGGATATATTAGTTTTTGGAATTGCTTTGGGGAATATATGTGGGTCTTGAGGGGTGGGGGCACTGAGTATTTAGAGACTAAAGAGAAATAATTGGAAATTAGTTTCATATATTAGTGATGCTTCCATAAGGCAATATGGTTACAAGGAATACAATTAGATGAATTTCAGCAATATATAGATTGTTAAAATAAGACAAATAATTTATTTTTAATTGAATACAAGTCCCTCTTAGTCCTATTATTTCCAGTTCTTCATTCCCTGGAGCACTCTTGGTTGCCATCACTTCTTGTTGCACGCTCTGTAGGAACATCTATTGTTTCCCAAGTTAGGCTTTAAGAAGAAAGAACAAGTGATTTGTCAGAAAAACAGTTGGCTGAAATCCCTCCTTAGTAGTTGTGGGACCTTGAGCAAGTCACTTCAACTGTTTTTTTCTTTATATATATTTTTATTATTACTATTATTGTTTATTGTTATAGTTTAAATTAAGTTTACATTTCAAGTTAGTCTCCCATACAAAAATTTATACATACATTGTTATGTGACCCTAATTGTCCTCCCCATACTGTGACAGCACACTCCTCCATTCCACCTGATTCCCCATGTCCATTCAATCAGCTCCTAACCCTCCCTGCCTTCCCATCTCACCCCTGGACAGAAGCTGCCCATTTAGTTTCTTGTATCTACTTAAGCACACTCCTCAGAAGTATCACTTTATGTCCTACAGTCCAGTCCAATCCCTGTCTGAAGACTTGGCCTCAGAAATTGTTTTATGGGCTGATAGAGAATCTGGGGGCCATGCTTTCCAGGGTTCCTCCAGTCTCAGTCAGATCATTAAGTCTGGTCTTCTTACTAGAATTTGAGTCCTACACCCCACCTTTCTCCTGCTCCATCAAGGACTCTCTGTTGTGTTCCCTGTCAGGGTGGTCATTGGTGGTAGCCAGGCACATCTAGTTCTTCTGGTCTCAGGCTGATGAAGTCTCTGGTTTATGTGGCCCACTTCAACTTTTTGAACATCTGTTTCCTCCTATCTAAAATTGTACCGATAGCATCCCCTGGTCTGCCTTTCCCATAGGTTGTGGCAAAGGTCAAATGAGACAATTCCTGTGGAAGTACTTTGAAATAGTAAAGGCCCGTGTGAATGTTAGATGTTATTAAAAGTGTTTCAGAGCATGTAGCTATCATTGAGCTATATAGTATTCCTGAAATTATGATTACCAAGACTGTAGCAGTAAAAGAAAAACTTTTCTTGATTTTACAAATATTACTTTGGTTTTCTAAGAGTTCTAAACAATCAAGGAAAGTAGAATGAGGAAACACCTTTTATGGCCTAGCTGCTTTTGTAAGCGTTCAAAGGCTTTTAAGTCTGCAAGTGCTATTTAGGTAATGGTCTCAACTGGAAGAAACTTAAGCAACATTGCAATACATCTTGTATAATAGAATATTAACATTATTTTAATCTCCAAACAGTGGAAACCAGCTGTTCACAGATAGGAGCTTGCTAAGTTTGCCGTGCAATGTAAAAATGAAAAATTATTCAAAACCAGTGAGTTAAAAAACATTTTTCCATAAAGATATAACAAGGTAAATGTTAATTTCTTCCTGACAATCTAGGCAGAATAAACTGTTTATGCAGGAACCAAGCACTTAACATTTAACATATGGTTTTTGTTGCTGTTAAGTGCCACTGAGTTGGTTCCAACTCATAGCAACCCTATGTACAACAGAATGAAATACTGCCCAGTCATGTGCCATCCTCACAACCGTTATGTATGAGCCCATTATTGCAACCACTGTGTCAATCCATCTCATTGAGGGTCTTCCACTTTTTCGCAGACCTTCTACGTTACCAATCATGATGTCTGCATGGGCTCAGCAACATGGACTTCTACTTGCCAAGGCCGACTTGGCTACAGCCACTGCTGAGTGCTCAATCTGCCAGCAGCAGAGACCAACACAGAGTCCCTGATATGGCACCATTCCTCGAGGTGATCAGCCAGCATCCTGGTGGCAGGTTGATTACACTGGACCACTTCCATCATGGAAAGGGCAGTGTTTTGTTCTTATAGGAATAGACGCTTTCTCTGAATATGGATTTGCCTTCCCTGCATGCAATGCTTCTACCAAAAGTACCATTTGTGGACTTACAGAATGCCTTATCCACCATCATGGTATCCCACACATTGCCTTGGATCAAGGGACTCACTTCACAACAAATGAAGTGTGGCAATAGGCCCATGCTCATGAAATTCACTGGTCTTACCATGTTCCCCATCACCCTGAAGCAACTGGCTTGATAGAATGATGGAATTGCCTTCTAAAGACACAGTTATGGTGCCAGCTAGATGGCAATACCTTGCAGGGTTGGGGCAGTGTTCTCCAGGAGGCTGCATACGCTCTAAACCAGCATTTAATACATGGTGCTGTTTCTCCGATAGCCAGGATTCATGAGTCCAGGAATCAAGGGGTGGAAATGGGAGTAGCACCACTACTCTCACTCGAAAAATTTTTGCTTCCTGTCCCTGTGACCTTATGCTCTAGAG